TGAGAGAAATCCAAGAGACAGATAAATCAACTATCAGTCACAGATTTTAAAGTGTCTTTCCATAATGTATAAATCAAGCCTAAAAAACCCTAAAATTAACAGTGAACAAATTTGATCTGAGGAGTGCACCTGTAATATTGCAGAAGAGCCTTTTTATAAAGCACATACAAGAAAGTTATGAAAATTGATCACAAACTAGGGCACAAAGCAAATCTCAACAAATTTCAACGGTTTGGTATACCATAGAAACTACATCCTTTGACCACAATACGGTTCACTTATAAATAATTACAAAAAGTGAACTAGAAAAACCTGTAAATTTAGACATGAAATAACTCATGACTCAAAGAATTGATAAAATCAGAAAATACAGAGATGTGAATAGCGATAAAACACTACATGTCAAAATTTGTGAAGTAAAAGTGATAGAGAGGAAAGTGCACAGCCTTAAAAGCTTACAAACAATGAAGGAAAGGACTGCAGCTTAGAGTAATGAAGGTTTACCTCCTGGAGTGGGGGAACAGACCTGCCTTCCCTCAAGAAGGGGCTACTTGTTAAACAGTACAGATAAGAGTTCTGCATTCAACGAAGAATCGGAGAATTGTGTTGAAAGCAGTTTCCAAAGCAGAAGTGTGTGCTGGCAGTGGGCTTGTTCAAGATGCAAGTTGGTTATCTGAGCCATGCATAGTAGTGCACACCTATAATCCCAACCACTCCAAAGGCTGAGGCAGGATTGCAACTTGGATGCCAGCCTGGGCAACTTGGCGAGACCTTGTCTCAAAATAAAATAAAAAAGAGCTGAGTATGTAGCTCAGTGATAGAGCTCTTGTCTTAGCATGCACGAGGCCCTGGGCCCCATCCTCAGTATGAATAAATAAATAAGGTTGGTTATTGGTTAACAACAAGTAGATCTAGGATGCAGCTTCTCAAACAGAAGCACTGAGCTCAAAGTCATCCATGAATACTCCTACTGCATCAGACTTTGAGGGCCACTGATATAATCTGTCTGTGGCAGTGTTTGAGATATGAACCAGCACGGATGTCACATATGCCTTCCTGGACAGTGACATAAACTTTCTGAGTTGTGTGTGTCAGTGGTTTGACAGAGAGGAAAGCCCCCGAGACATAGTTATAATGTCTGATGTCTTGGTCCACCCTGCACTTCTCACTAGATGCATCACTATTTCCTGCACTTCATTGCTCTTAATTTGGTTTCTTTTTGTGCTCATTCTACTGTTTATCCTCCTTCTTTTTATGTTTTTTTGTTTCTTTAAGACAGTGTCTTTTCATGCAATACTTCAGAAAGTTTTTCTTTCATTAATACAACTTATAATTAACAGTACTTCATATTCATAATCAACTCTTCTCACAGATCTCAGAATACAATTCAACATTTTGGACTTCTCTGAGCTATACAGGATAGATAAGATTTTATGAAATATAAGCTTTGGTAGGTCTTCCTGGAAGTAAAGAGTACGTTTAAACTAGGACAAGCTCAATTTGAGTCTTGTCTACAATCAAGCAGGTGTTAATCTATGTTCTTCTTCCTAACCTTTTAAAACCAAAAGCTGAGTTCAGATAGTTTGCTATCAATATAATAGATGTCAAATGCTATAGACAGTTAAATAGACAGTTAAGAAGGTAATCTTAACTGTAGGAATTCATAGCTCCACTCCAAGTAGCAACATAAAAATCCAGACTTCTTTCTTTTTATGTGTCGTCTTAAAGACCTGGCTTTTGGGAACTGCTATGGGAAAAGACAGGGAAAGTCTTGCTGAAGATTTCAGAAGTCAGTCTAGGTGTGCCTGTATCCCTTCAGGCCACGTTATATTACCCAGAAAGGGTCACATGGTTCCACTTACCACAGCTCTCACTGTGTGTGATAGACCTTGAGACCTCTCTGGAAGGAGGGCAGGCATGCATACTTGGGGTATCACTATGCCCAGAACCTATTTCATTGGCTACTGTATTTGTTGTTCCAGTTGTTCAATCATTTTATTGGCTGGAATCACTTGTTACAGTGATTAAGGAAAGTATTAGAATGGCTTATAGTTTGCTTTTCATTTTATTCTATTCCATTTTATTTTATTTCATGAACAGAGTGTAATTTTATTGTCCACAAATTACTATGCCAAATGTCTTAGAACTGGAGTCTTATAGAAGGCAACCTTTTCAGATTGAGATATCCTCTTACTACTATTAATTTAATATTCATGCATATTTTGAATATCTTGATAACTTATTTCCTCTAGTTATCCCCTTTAACAGTTTGTTCATCCATTCCCTTATTGGACTACTTGGTTGCTTCTAGTTAAGACAGGCTCTTACTATGTGGTCCAGGTTGGCTTTCAGCTCACTAATATAGCCTACACTGGTCACAAACTTGTGGTGATCCTCCTGCCTCAGCCTCCCTTAGTGCTAGGATTATAGTCATATGTCACCATGCTGAGCTAAACTCAGTTTCTTCATCTGTGAAATACTACTTTTGTCATTTTAAGGGTTACTGCTGGACTCAGTAGTGTTTTTTGTAATTCAAATTGTCATCCCAATATCATTTATGGATCCTTCATCCTCCTGCAACAGCTACCTGCTGAATTCTGCTAAATTTGTACCAAGGGTCTGTCTGTCCTATTGATCTGCTTATTCTTACACTAGTTCTACACTATTTCTTCCTCCTTTTTCCTTTCCTTTCTTTTTTTCCTCTTTTTTTTCCCCCTTGAGACAGAGTCTCATTATACAGCCCAGAGTGGCCTTAAACTTACCACGTAACCCTAACTGGCCTCAAATTCCCAGTGACCCTCCTGCCTCATTCTCTCTATTCTGGGATTATAGTTGTGCACCCCAAACCTGACTCTTTATCATAAGATTAAAAGCATAGATAAGTGGGAAGTTTCTCCCCAACTTTTTTCTCTAGCTACCCTAGAAGAAGCCAACAGTACTATTATTATGTGATTTCTTTTGGAGACATTTTATATGCATATATTCTCACATATATTTATACATGTGCATATATTTTCACATATAAGCTTACACATATTCTTTCCCCTTTTGCCTACAAATAGAAAATGTGTGTATGTAAGTTTTTTTGGTATGTTGGGGAGGGAACCCAGGGTATTCCCCTAACCTGCTAGGCAAATACTCTACCACTTGTAGAGCTACATCTCCAGTCCTAGAAACAAATATAAATCGTCTCAGTATATATCTTTCTTCTATTTTTAAAATTTTTCCTACCATGGCATAAGTGCCTGCCTGGCAAGCACAAGGTCACGAGTTCAATCCCCAGTACCAAAAAAAATTCTTACCACATAATGCAGATAACATGTGGATTTGAGTTCCAGTTCTGCATTTTACTGAGTTTATCAGTTTCCAATGCCTGTTCTAATAAATTTCTACAAATTGGATGTCTTAAAACAGTAGAGGTTTATTCCTTCTTAGCCTAGTCTGGAGCCTAGAAACCTGAAACTGAAGTATCATCACGGCCATGCTTTTGCTGAGACTCAAAGAGTGGACCCTTGCTAGCGTCTTTCAGCTTCTGGCGGCTGCCGTGTTCTCCTTGGTGCATTGATGCATTGTACTACCTCTGTCTCTGGGCTCACGTGGCCTCTTCTCTCTGCGCATCCGTCTCTTCCTGGCCACCTTAGAAAGGGCATAAGATACTGGATTCAGGGACTACTCTGATCCAGTATGACCTCATATTAAGTTCACTGGTTATATCTAATAAAAACTTTATTGCTAAGGTTCTGGGCGGACGTGAATTTTAAAGGAGCCACTATTCCACCAGAATACAGCAGTTGCTGGCAGTGAGAGCTAGACAGTCCCCCCGGATGACGTTTCTTATGGTTAGATTTTAACTACAGCAGTTGACAGTGCACACCAGGAATGAAGCAGGGGTTTAAGCACTGATGCTGAGCCTGGTAGCACTGAAAGCCGGCCTTCAGCTGGAGAAAGCAACGGGACTGGAGGATAAAGCAAGAATGTGCTCCCATACCTTCACCTCTCAGACCCTGGGAACCTCCTAGTGGGGGTTGGGGGGCAAAGGGAATGTGATGGGGCTTTGCATTAATTAGAATTAGGTTCAACTTTGAATAACATAAAGCCCCCCCAAATAACTGAATTAAGCAAGGTATAAATGTATATCTCTTTCACAGTCAAAAATTTTAGATAATCAGTCCAGAGCTGGAAAAAAATGCAAACTGTTTTTCTCTGTGACTTCTGTTCATAATGTCACTCATCATCCAAGATGGCTGCTGGTGCTCCAGTCATTAACTTCTACATCCAAACCAGCAGCAAAGAGGCTAGAGGAAAAGGTTAAAGATACCCACCCACTTAGGTTTGTACTCCAGTGGTCACACCAAGGTATAAGAGAGATGTAAGATGTAGTCTTGATACTGGGCAGCTGAATCTATGTAAAAGTTGGGAGTTCTGTTCCTAAGGATGAGAGAGATGACATACGGAGGGAGACATAGAAGCCTGTTCACAGTTTTGAACAGCCTCTGGGGTTGTGGGAGTCCTCTCCAAGCAGGTTGGCTGCTGTTTCTCTCCCTGGGGCTCTAGTGAATAGGATTGCTTCTTCGTGGAGTCATGAGAGTGGGGCATGAGTATGCATGCCCCTGATGCTTGGGCACAGTGTACAGCATGTGGTACGTGCTCAGTTAGTGACAGACTATAATTTTCACTTCAAATCAGATGAGGTCAACTGGTCTTAAAATCTAGGGAGCCAAATCATCATCACTGGTTTATGATTCCCCAGGATCTGCCTTTTGGTGCAGGAAAGTTCCGATGTCACTTCCAAAGGGACCATTTGTCCCAAGACTCACACTCCTTCCCTTCTGCTCTGGGCCCCTGGAGCCTGGGAGCAGAAGCCTTCTAATGTACCCACCTGCGTTCTTGCCACCTTCCCTCGGTCTCCTCCTGGCACAGGATAAGGGTGGAGGCAGGCAGCGAACCCTGCTTTGAGGGCTTTGAGGATGGCTGCATGCTTTTGTTTCTTCTGTGCTTAGACTCTGCAGACTCAAATTAAATCCTTGGAGCAGAACAAGGCAAATAAAAGCACCATGGAGCAGGAGCTGAAAGAAGTAAGTGAGCCAGTGCCTCCCCTCTCCCCAGCTCCCACCTGAGGGAGCAGAATCGGTGAGCAAAGCCAGAATCCAGTCTCCCTGAATCGCTACTCTTCACACAGAAAGAGAGGAGAGGCTTCTTGAAACTTGTCCTGTCCATTCCCATTTTCAGCAGTGTTCTGTTATATGAACTTAAACATCAGGCACCAACTCCCCTACCAGCCTTAGATCTCACAGTTGTTTTTGAGTCAGCATAGACTGGAAGGTGAACTTACACCACAGCTAGGTGCCAGTGTCCCTAACTAGAAGAAAATGGCCCAAAGGATAGAATGTCTGCCAGCTTGCTCTGCTCCACTCCAGCAGCCCTGATCCCAGAACCCCCCTGTCTAGAAAGCCGACAGGAGCGCCCTGGCAAGCAAGGCCAGCAGGGCTGACCTGGAGGTGGTGGTGACAGAGCTGAACAGCATGATTCAGAGCATGCTCTTGAAGGTCTCGACCAGTGAGGATAACTGGAAGAAGTCGGTAAAGCAGCTGAGGAAAGACATGGCCACCAAGGTGAGTACCCCTGTGTCAGCCGTCTTTCGCTGCATGACAAATTACCCTAGAACTTAGCGGCTACAAACAGCAAATGCTGATTCCAGAAGCAGTAATTTGGGAGCAGCTGAGCTAGGTGGCTCAAGGCCTCTTATGAGGTCATCCTGGGCTTTATCATCTGGCTTGAGTGGGGCAAGAAGGGCCACCTCAAAGATAGTACCCTCAGCCATGCATGGTAGTGCATGTCTATAATCCTACCTACTTAGGAGACTGAGGGAAGAGGATTGCAAGTTCAAGGTTAGCCTGAGAAACTTAGAGATCCTGTCTCAAATTTTTATTTTATTTTATTCTATTTTATTTAATTTATTCATTTATTTTGTTATCAGAGATCGAACTCACAACCTTCTGCTTGCCAGAACAGGTGTTTATGCCACAGAGCTAAATCCCTGGCCACTGTCTCAAAATTTAAAAAATTTTTTTTAAAAAGGCCAACGATGTGGCACAGTGGTAAAGTATTTGCCCAGCATGTGTGAAGTCCTGGGTTAAACCCACAATTAAAAAAAAAAAAAGACATCAGGCTGGGAATTTAGCTCAGTGGCATAAGTACTTGCTTGGCAAGTGCAAGGTCCTGAGTTTGATCCCCAGTACCACAAAAAAAAAAAAAGACATCCTCATGCCTTCAGTTTAGACTATATGCACTGTTTCTCAAGACCACTTGGGTAGTGAGAGCCCCCAGAGCAAGGGCCCAGGAAAGCAAGAAAGAATCTGTTGATCTCTCTGGGAAAGGTAGTCCATGCATGAGTCCCAGCACTTGGGAAGCTGAGGCAGGAGGATTGCAGGAGAACTACATAGTGAGCTCAAGGTCAGCCTGAGAGCTGAGGATTTAGCTCAGTGGCATAAGCGCCTGCCTGGCAAGCACATGATCATGCGTTCAATCCCTGGTACAAAAAAAAAAGGCCAGCCTAAACTATATAGTGAGATCCTGTCTCAAAAAAACAAAACAAAACAACAAAAACACAGAAAAGAATCTAAAAATCTCTGGTGTGGTTAGCCGTGGGAGTACCTTCCACCATTTCTGTTACAGCCTGTTGGTTACACAAGTCAGCCGAATTCAGTGTGAGAGGGGACTGCTCAGTGGTATAAGAGGTGTTGCAGGGGACTGTCACATTGGTGGGGCAAGTCAAGGGACAAGGTGGGTGGAGTCTGCCGAGAGAGCCAGGCCAGTTCTTCACTTCCTCTTTCATCACTTCCTGGTCACCTGAGGTGTGCTAGACCTGGGGAAGCATTGATGGGGAGTCACAGCCCATGCCCCTACTTGGACAGGCTGACCAACATGCCTGGCTTTAGGATCCAGCCACTCTGGGTATGAGACTCCTGAGGCTCATCTTTCTCATCTGTAAAATGAGTGTTCATTTGTTTATCCACTATGCATTGTGTCCCAATAATGTTAGTTACCGGGGAAAGCAATGAGCAAAACAGAAAGGGGTTTGGTCTTCATGGAGACACATTTATCAGAGGAAGGACATAACATAGCATGTCACAAAACAACTGACTTTTTTGTCCTCATTAATCCAATTCCAGAGTAGGAAGAGGTGGTGACAGATTACTCCAGATTTTACAAGCTGCAGGAATCCTAGCAACCAAATGTAACATCTGAAGAAATTGTATTTGTTTTGTGGCTTATTTGAGCCCATTCTAAAACTGGGCTGGAAATATGACCCTAGTCAGAAATTATATCATTTGTGTTAGATGTGACAATGAAATTGTGATCATGAATGAAGGCCTCCCCCCCCCTTTCAAAGATAATTACTCAGGTTTTTATGAGGGAAATGTCATGATTTCTGTAATTTAAAAAATTGATCCCACTGGGTATGGTGGTGCACACTTGTAATCCCAGCAATTGGGAGGCTGAGGCAGGGGGATCACCATGAGTACAAGGGCAGCCTGGGCTACATAGTGACTTCAGTCTAACCTGCATAGTGAGACCCGGTCTCAAAAAACAAACAGGAAAATAGCCAGGCACGGTAGTGCATGACTATAATTCCAGCACTTGGGAGGCTGAGGCAGAAGAATCATTTGCAAGTTCAAGACTACAAAGTGAACTCAAGGCTAGCCTGAACTGCATAGCAAGACCCTGTCTCAAAACGACAAACAAAACAAAAAAACAGAATAGAAAAATTCATAGAGGCACAGACTCAATTAGTAGTTGCCAGGGACTGGGGATTTGGGAAACATGGAGGAAATGGGACTTCTTTGAGAGGGATGCAAATGTTTTAAAATTGATTGTGATGTTATATAACTCTGTGAATATACTGAAAGCAATTGAATTGTTCACTTTACATTCACACCCTCTATACATACCTGTTGATGCGTGTAGCATACATGGGGGGTCCATTAGGATATATGTTGCTCAGGTGTCTCTAGATTGAGTTGGTTATAAATGTTGTTGGGTTGTTTTTTGTTTTTTGGGTTTTTTTGCTTTTGCTGCTGGGAAACTCACTTTGCAGTTTCCCTCTACCAATAACATTCTTGAAGGCATGAGCCTTAATCCAAACTGGATTCTTTTTTCCTTTCCAGGACTACCGCACTGTCTTTGTTGCATCCTCCTATTATCTTTGTAACTTTGCAGTATGAGTTAATTGACTGTCTTTCCTTCCTACTGGCCATTGATAGCTGGTACCCAGTGACCTGGACGCTCTGAAGAAAGAAGTGGTCGAGATCTGGCAAGCAGTCAAGAAGCTGATGATGGAAAGCTTCCGATTTGACCCAGATCATGCTGCAGGCTTTAAGAGGTGACCACTACCAGTGTGGGATCAGGAGCCAGGGGTGGGACTGAGAGTGCAGAAGAGCCCAGAGGGGGCCACTCTGGCCTCCCTAAGCGGTGCGAGCAGCCTTCTTGCAACAAAAGAGTAAATAAGGCTCAGAGAGGGACAAGGTGTGCAGGGCTCACAGGGTCGGTTAGATCCAGGGCCTGTGCCAGGGCTCCTGACCCCACTCACTCGGGCAGGCCGTGTGCCCCCAAAGCCCACACTACCTTCAGCCCAGAAGGAGGACAGCCTTTTCTTCTTTATCCTTCCCCTTCTCTTCCTCTTCCTCTCCCCTCGCTTCCCTTCCCTCCTCTTCCCATTCCCCTTGCCTTCCTCTCCTGTTTTCTTTCCTTCACTACTGCACCCGAGGAGTGAATCAAGGGCCTTCCACTGAGCTACCATCCCTGCCCTTTTTATTTTTGATTTTGAAACACAGTTTTGGTAGTCCATTAAATTGCCCAGACTAGACTTAAATTTACTATCCTCCTGCTTCAGCTTCCCAGAGTGCTGGGATTACAGGCATGTGCCACACCGGAAGGAAAACCGTACCAACTGGAACTGGAATCCCGTTTGCCTCGCGCGGCGGATGGGACAACAGGGTCTGCAGAGCCGAGCCCAGAGCCTCTGCAGCCTCTTCCTGCACCCGCCCGCTGATCTTTGGTTGTTTTGTCTTTCAGGCAACTGTTTGAGCAAGTGAAGTGCATATCTTGCGACCGGCAGGTGGAGATCATGACCTGTCCGTAAGTACCGCCAGGGGGCGCGTCCAGCCGAGCTCTGGGCTCACCCAGTTCGGTGAGTCCAAAGTGTCAGTGCGCCCTCGGGCGTCTGTGTTCATCGTCCCACCGTCGTCGTACGTAGTCTTACTCGTCGTTTTATATACACCCTGCTTTCCGTTCCACCTCTGAGGACCAGCGCAGATGGTGTGTGTGTGTGTGTGTGTGTGTGTGTGTGTGTGTCTTTTTACATCACCGACCCTGTCTAGGGCTGTGTATTCAGGCAAAAGTCAGTAGACAAAACAACCGGAAGGAATCCTTGTGGGGAAAACAAACCGTTATTGTACTTTTTTGCATTTATTTAGATAAAAGTCTGATCATATTTTAAATTCATTGAGAGGAAATTCATTTACCATACAAGAACTATTTTATTTTATTTTATTTTTGTCTTTTTTTTTTTTTTTTCTTTTTGAGACAGGGTCTCTCTATGCAGTTCAGGCTGGCCTTGAGCTCACTTTGTAGCCCAGGCTGGTCTTGAACTCGCAACGATCCTCCTGTCTCAGCCTCCGGAGTGCTGGGATTACAGGTGTGAGCCACCACGTCCGGCACAAGAACTATTTTAACAATTAAGTGGTGTTTAGTACATTTACAGGGTTTTGTATTAAGTGGTGTTTAATACATTTACAGGGTTTTGCAAATATTGCCTCTGTTTAACTCCAGAGCCCTATTTAGTTCCCTAGAAAGAAATCTCAACCCATTAGCAATCACTCCCCACTGCCAGCTTTCCTCCTGCCCCTGGCAGCTAAGAATCTGCTTTTTCTCTCATGGATTTGCCTTTTCTGAATGTTTCTTGTACTGAAATCTTACAATATATGGGCTTTTTGAATCTCGCTTCTTCCATTTAGCAAATTATTTATTTGGTTTCTCTTTGCTGCAGCATGAATCCTTTCTACAGCTAAATAATAATCTGTGTGAACAGAGAGCTAATTGGTTAATGGAAATTTGGATTGTTTCTACCTTTTAATTATCATACCTACCGCAGCTACAAACATCCGTGCACATGTATTTAAGCATTCATTTTCGGTTCTTTTGTACATAAACCTAACAGTGGAAGTGCTAGGCTATGCGGTTACTCTGTGATTAGTTTTCTGAGGAGCTGCCATGCAATAATCAATCTGTCCTGAGTGTCAGGATCGTGCAGGGCCTCTACAGTGCTTGCCTAGCCCTAGGACCCATGAGACTCCTTCCTGGTTGCTGCCCGTTCACATTCATGGAGAGCTACAGAACTTCAACCAGGATTTTACTTTCAGATAGCAACTACTTCCTATATTGTATATAGTAGTAAAAAAGTTGAAACAATGCATGTGGTAACTGAGTTCATTCACATCATGCAGTATAAACCAAGTTATATAAGATGCCACCCAATAGAAACCACCCAATAGAAAGTTCTGCCATGGGGCTGGGGATTTAGCTCAGCGGCATAAACGCCTGCCTTGCAAGCAGGCAGTCGTGAGTTCAATCTCTGGTACCGATAAAAACGAAAAAGACAAAAAAAAAAAAAAAAAAAAAGAAAGTTCTGCCATGATGTGGCTGGTAGCTGTGTGGTCCAGTTCAAGAGCTACCAGGGACCTATGGCTGTTGAGCAGCTGAAATATGCCTAATGTGTTTGAGAAACTGAATTTAAAATTTCACTTAAAATTTAGTTAATTTAAGTGTAAATTTAAATAGCTACATATGGCCAGCAGCTCCTGTATTGGATATCATAGCTGTGATATCCAAAAAATATTTCATGATCAGAAAAATGTTTGGAATAAATTAATGGGAATATAAAGTAATATGTGTGTGATTTTTTTTTATTGTTTTTTTTAATTACATAAGGGGGCCAGGGGTTTAGCTCAGCAGCACAAGCACCTGCCTAGCAAGTGCAAGATAATGAGTTCAAGCTCCAGTATCAAAAAAACAAATTATATAAGCATGGTAGCCAGGTAGCACATGCCTGTGATCCCAGCACTCGGGAGGCTGAGGCAGGAGGATCATCACCACTTCAAGGCCAGCCTGGGCTACATAGTAAGTTCAAGGCCAGCCTAACTACATAGTGAGATGCTGTCTCAAAAAAATTCATAAATATGGAAAAATACCAAAAGAACATTTATCAAAATCTGTGTCACATCATTATACTGTTTCTTTTTTTGCACCCTTCTATACTCTATAAAATGTTTAGAATCGATGTTTTACTAAAAAAAAGTATTGTGGCTTATCATGTATAAAAGAACATACATTATTGTTTATTACACAGTTGGATGAACTTTCACATATGTACACCTGAAATTTTTTTTTTTTTTTTTTTTTTTTGGTACTGGGTACTGAACTCATGATCTTACACTTGTTAGGCAGGCTTTGTACCACTGAGTTATATCCCTGGCCCATGAACTTTTGCATGTGGGTTCACTACCACTCAGATAGAGATGCAGAGGAGTCCCATCTCCTCAAGAAAGACATACTGTTTTCTTCATTTTTATTTTCTTCTGGAGGCAAAATACCCATGACATAAGTTTAGTCATTTTTTAAGGGCACAGTTTGGCAGTATTTAATTCATTCACAGTGCTGTGCACCACCACCTCTCTAGTAGCAGAGCATTTTCAACCCCCCAGAGGAAAGCCCCACACCCATTAAGCAGTGTCTTCTCACTTTCTGTGCAGTCCTGGCAGCCACCAATCTACAATCTGATTCTAGGATTTCACTACTTCGAGTTTTATCTTTATAATTGGAATGGTTGTTTTGGGGTCTTACTATGATCAATCAGAGCTGCTCAAGTCCTCACACTGTGGCCCCATGCTGGAGCACTGAAGCAAAGGCCGCATATGATGGTGGGCACACCCAGCTCAGCACTTCCTTCCTCCTGCTGGGAAGGCTTCCCAGAGGATGTGGGAGCTGGAGCCCTCTGCTGGCCACTATGCCTCCCACTGCCCTGGCCATCTCCTCTCCTCCACAGGCAGCTGATTACCATCCGCAGAGCCCACCTGTTGTCGAGGCTGCGGCCAGCCAGTGCCAACAGCTATGAGTACCTGCAACGGCAGCAGATGAGGTGAGTGCTGGGAGCCAAGATATATCCTGGCACATATCCTTCTGTGCCAGGAGCCAAGCACTTCACACTTCAGTCCCAGACATTGGCCACTGTCTGCAAGGGAGCCCTTCTGAGAGGAGGCTAGGGAGGCAGAGAGGCACAAGAGGGGGATGGGGGTTTAGCTCGGTGGCGTAAGTGCCTGCCTTGCAAGTGCGCAGTTGTGAGTTCTATCCCTGGTACCAAAAAAAAAAAAAAAAAAAAGATCTATCTATGGATTGGGCATCTACTGTAGGCCAAAACGTATTAGGCATGTTCAATGAGAGGACTTCTCATTAAACATTATAACCCCCTGTACGCCAAGATTAGTATGCCTGTTTCCTGGTGGAAAAGTAATGATCAGGTCTCCTTTGGGACATCTTTTTATGGCCTGGAAGATACAATGTCAAGAAATTGGCCCTTTTGAGTCCTTGTAGATTCCCTGAGGTATATTCTATGGTCATTCCATTTCACAGTTGAAAAAACTGAGGCTTAGAGAAAGCTTATGTGACCTGTCCAAAGTCATGGCTAGTAAGTGGTAGAACTGACATCTAAACTTGCAGGTTTCTCCTACTTTGCTGGTTTCCTGGGTTCCAGCTGCAGTCCTAACCTCCTGACATCCTTGGTTCCAGGGCTTCTTTCAGTACCCAGCGCCTGTGGAATGTGGACCAGGGTTAGGAGGTGAACAGCTAAGTGTTAATCACAGTCATGCAAAAGGGAGGGACTTAGGGGCCTGTGCTGAGCTCAGGAGATCTACAGCACGTGTGTGGTGGCCTAGACAGTATTCCAGGTGTGGTCAGGTCTGGGGAAGGCAGGTCTTGTTTTACTCCTCTCCCCCAACTGTGCATGTTGGCATACACCCACCAGGCCCCAGGCCCTGCAGGCTACTGAGCCACCTATACCCTGCAATATTAGCTGGGCCTTGGGATCTGTCCTTAGGTTCCTTGGAGGCAGAGGGTCTCCAGGTGGCTGCTGATCTTCTGCCCTGCCTAGGGAACAACACCAACTGCACTTCCAGCATCTCAGCACAACAGAGGACAGCTTCGACCCCTTGAGCTCCCACCAGGACTGGAATGACGGCCCCCGAAATGACCCCAACCTCAAGCTCAAGTCATACAACCTGTCAACTCTCTATCCTTATGGAGATCCCCAAGTGATAGACTATGATACTGTGAGTCTGGGCCATGACCTCCTCCATGGACAGTAGAAACCAGCATGCCCTGGTCCGAGGTGTGGGACTAGGCCTTGAGCTATGCAACTAGGCCTTGAGTTGTGGGTGTGTCTGGAAGGGTATAGCCTGGCTTTTAGGCCTCTCCATGAACTAGAGGGGGTGTTGGGTGGAGACCTTGATATGGGACTCAGATCATGCAACAGGCTGAGGTGGACATCCTGGGAGTGGACGGGATCTTGTACAAAGGCCGAATGACCAACCAGACTGGGACTCGACTCTTGGCCACTGGAGAGAAAGAACCAGCAGGTGAGGGGCATTGGACACTCCTGGGCAACCCTACTCTGATTCTTCCGGGAAGGGTGAAGGGTTAGATGCAGGGCTCAAGGCTGGTGCCATCCCTGATACAATATCTCACAATAGCTGGCACCTGCAGACAGTGGGATGTAATGTGCAATGCGCAGATCATAAACAAATAACAGAAGGTAAGAACCCATGGTTACAAAGAGAGATAAACAGCTGACCTGCAGGGAAGTGCTGGTAATGGGACAGCTGGCCTGTGACAAGGGCATAGCCCAGGCAGGGTACTGGGCTTGTGACAAGACAAGAGTTATGCCAAGGCCTACAGTCCATAGACGAGCGACTGGATCTACTCTAATGAGGAGGTGAAAAGAATTACTTGGTGAATGGATCGAGGGGAGGGAGAGTGGTCTAGGTGAAATAGTGAGCAGGTATAAAGGTTAGAAGCCAAGTACAAGTAGAATTTAGGGATGAACCATCTGGGTGCAGAGACTAGGGTAGATGATAGAGAAGATATATACAGGACACAGGTCTTAGGATCTGGTTCTGGGGCCTCAGGACTCTAGAGTTCATTACAGAGGCTCAAAACATAGGAAGGGGAGGCGACACACCCCTTTGGAGTGTTTCCTCCTTTTTTTTTGTTTGTTTGTTTGTTTTTTGTGGTGGGGTAATTGATCCCAGGGCCTTATAAGACAGGAGCTCTATCACTGAGCCACATCCCCAGCCTAGAGTGTTTTCTCTTTGGAAAGAAGTCTAAATTTTTCCTCTGGGTGACAGCCACATCCTCCCTCATGAAGAGTGGTATAGGAGCCACTGTGGGCAATCCCACTGACTAGAGAACTAAATCCTGGACAGTAAGAAAGGAAAGGCAATTGTCCTTATGATGTGCTGGACAAAGAAAGGCACACCAAGCTGTCACAGCAAACAGCAGCTTATTCTTCCACTCCTGGAGACTAGAATTCTAAAACCAAGGTGGCAGCAGGGCCATCTTTCTCTCCAAAGGCTCTTGTGAAGGATCCAGCTCCTGTGGCTCTAGGCATGCTTTAGCAATGGCCACATCACTCCAATTTCTGCTTCTTTTTTTTACATAGCTCTTTCCATGTGTCCTCCCCTCTACTGTCTCTCATAAGGACACTTGTCATCAGATTTAAGGTTCAGTATAACCCAGGATAATCTTATTTCACCATCTTCAATTACACCTGCAGGATCTTTTCTCTAGATTAAGTCACAGAGATTCCAGGGGACGTATCTTTTTGGGGACCATCAAGCAAACCACCACAAGCCCCACCCTGTTTCTGGGAGGGTAGGATACTGTATGTCTGCCCTTTGCCCAGGCAGCATGCAGCTGCTTTAGGCCCCCTACTGTGGATTTAATGGGACATGCATCGGTTGCTTCAGGGGTCACCACGCAAGGCAGCAACACAGGCTAAGGTTTAATGAGCCTTGACTTTGTGCTAAGGCATCCTCACCTCCTCTTGCCCACCTGATGAGGCCATTTACAAACATCCAAGAGAGGGTCCACTTGCTGGGAAGGTACACTCGGCAAGGGACATGGCAGATGGAGTTTACCATGGAATGTCTCATTCCCTATCACCCCTCCCCAGGGATGTTACCCTCAAAGGTATTGCTTTTCCCCAAGTGGTCATTCATCCCCAAGACCCAGGCATCAAACCAGAACATGGTAGCCTCAATAGCTTTACATTGCTCAGATTGACTGTGTAGCAGAGTGGTCTCAGAAACAGGGAGGTCCCATCAGAATGAAAAGTCTGGCCTCATTTCCTACCTGTTCTGATTTTTTCTCTTTAGTTATGAAGATTCCATGTCCCCCAGGTCAAAGTCTGTGTGATCGTGTGCGCTCTAGTGCCTTAGTTGGTGCCATCTATCCCCGTGAGTACCTGTCCTCAATTGATCCCTCCTAGTCTCAGCCCATTCCCTTTAAACCTCCAGCCTGGAGGCTTGTTCCTGTCCCACTTCAGCTACCTCTCACTTGGTCTGTCCACATCCTAGCAGCCACCTGCCCACCTGAACTGCACCGGGGCTCTGGGGGAATCCCTGAAATAGCCCTGGCCAAGAAAGTGGGGCCCAGACCCTCAGTTGTCCAGTTCCTGCTTTACCTTCAGGGTTGCTTCCTTGTCCCACGCACCTTCCCAGATTCCCAGGCCAGGTTTCTGTCCCCAAGCATCTACCCAGCTGCAGGAGTAGGACAAAGGAATCACTTACTGCTCTTGACAAGGGGCACTAGTAGCTATGCTAAGGGCATCTGAGCCCCTGAGTTCCCTGATTTGTATCACTTAGTACCAGGCATCTAGGGGTGCTTTTCAGTTTATAGAGTACTTTCTTCTTTTTTGTCTTTTCTGATCCTTAATCCAACTCAATGAAGTTAGTCAATTCCAAAGAGAAGGGAGCTGGGCTTAGCAACCTGAGCCCAAATCCCCAGAATCTAAGCCCTATTTCCTCCCGGGTGCTCTGCTTCATCTTGGAAGCCCACTTACAAAGTCATATACTTGGGTCCTCTTCCCTGAAGTTTAGGGTGCCCAGGACCCAGAGAAGCACGGTCACCAACCCTGTCATGGCCCACAAAGTGCCTTCAGTCTTGGTCTTCTCTTCCTCTAACAAGGAGGATCCCATTAGGCCAGCAGCAACTGGGAGCACTCTTGAGATACAACATAGGATTCTTCCTCCCTCCAGCCCAGGGGCCTCACACCAACACCACCTCAACTGTCTCGGGCACTACTGCCGCGACACTGCCTCAACAACCATCTCTGCTGCCCCTGACGCTGCTGCCGCCACTCATTCCAACCCCAAGGGACCCACAACAGACCCCACAGTTCACCAGGCACTTAAGATTTCCACACACTGAGTCCGGAGCCAGCATGCGGCTTGTGGAGGAGCCTGACAACCTATGAGCTCTACTCCTTTCTCCTACTGGGTTCCCTCCATGGCCCCTGGGGCCCTGTGACTGGCCTAAGAAATGAGCTAGGGGCCCTAGACCCAGGAGAGGGGTCTGCATCTATGTAAGGAAGTCCTCATGTTGATCCAGTAGTTGCTTTTAAAACTCTATGTATATAAATAACAAACAACACATTGACATTTTCATATAGAATACAGCTCTCAAGTGCATTATCCACTGAGTCAATGGAATTCCTTAACCAAGTTTTGACACAACAGCATTAAAGTGGCTTTAAAACCATCCCTCTCCTTTTTATTTCCTTGCAATGCTGTCATCAGATTCAGTTCCCATTACAGTTCTTGCCTCTGTGCCTCTTACCTGGGAGCCATTATTTCTATTAAGACCAATTTTCCCATGGCAACCAAATTTCACTGTGTGCAATCTTTTTTGTGTTGATTGTTCTACTGGAAATTATTCCTGTGAATTGGATTGTTCCTTTTCATTTCTTGGGCTGACCCACAAGGAAACTGGTACAATGCCCCTGGAGTATTCTAGAATTGTGGGGCTACCTACTAGCAATTTCTCCTGCTTATAGCCCACACATGTGCTGGGGAATAGAGCAAACCACGAGGTTGCAAAGTCTTCACTATGACAATTTACTAATCACTCTTATAACATAAAGCAGGGGTCTCTCCCCATGCCCACCTTCCGTGGGGTCATGGACTAGCTTTATCTCTTTCCATTTTGATTGTTTACCTATCTTTTCCTCTTCTCAATCTCTTTTGATTTTCTCATTTCCTTGTTCTACTGAGTTCTGCTCTTTCCTTTTCTACCGTCAATAGTTCTGTTCTATTTCACAGAGACAAAACAGCCTCCCTCTGCAAAGGTTAGGAGTGTAACCACCTCCTCAGTTCTCACTAAACACTGAAGTGAGTCAGGGGAATTGGTGGCTGGTGACAAGAGCTGTTCGGGAATAAGCTGGAGAAGGGAGGACTCTGGGCAGGACTAGGAGCCCCCAGGCTCTGCCAGGGGCAGGTATGGAAGACGAACCCATGCCTGGGAAGCTATCAGTGCCTGAGGATGCTGTTTGCTCAGGATTCCTAACAGTTCCCAAAGCCCCTCCACAACTATGACCAACACTAGATGACTTGGTTTTTTATTTGCTTTTGTTTTGTGGTACTGGAGACTGAACCCAGGGCCTTTGCACTGCGCTATGTCCCTAGTCTATTTTTATATTTTGAGACAGAATCTAACTAAGTTGCTAAGTTGCCCAGGCTGTGCTCAAACTTGTAATATTCTTGCCTTGTCCTCTCAGCTGATTGTTTTCTTTCTCCAAGGACTCTGTCCAAATGACGCCAAGCTCTTCCTGACCCAGGTATTCCTCAATCCATGCTGCCTTTGGCAGTGGCACTGGCTGGTATATCCCAAACCCCTACCTCCAGTCACAGATGAGTATTTTTGGCAACTGCTTCCCAGAATAAAATCTTCCTCTTGTCTGACTATAGATGAGGTATACTATTCAGAGGGTGACCTCTCCCTGTGCACAAATGGGACTTGCTGGTCCCTTCTCTAGTTGCCACTCCAAGCTCAGCCTCCTAGCAACTGTGCCCAGCTCACCCAGGTGAAGGGTCAGCAAAACTCACAATAAACCTTCTTCTTCCACCATGTTTCTCCTGGCAGTCTTATGCCCTGAGCTGTCCCAGCATTATGTGGGGAGCACAGAGGTCTTGACAAACTGCCCAGGCAGCCACATCTGCTGGGTATTGTGCATGAGTATCAGGGGCCTGGCTTCATTCCCTCCTCCACCAAGCAAGCTGTGGCTCCAGTTCAGATCAGCTGGGGAAGTAGGCCTCCTGGGGGCAGCCTACTGCCAACACTTTGGCACTCAGGGGCTCTCCTTTGGCCTCACAACTGGGCACCACTCTCTCTCTCTCTCTCATATCCTCCTATCTGCCCTCATTCAGTCCCTTCAAAGTCACGTCCTGAGCCCATTTCAGAGGTTTACCAACCTGAGAAATCAGTGCTTGAGTTGGTTCCTATAGGCCAGGGAGTAAGAAGTAAGGGCCTTGTTGGTCTACATTCCTACAGGTCTCTTGGGTACTTGGAAGCCTGGGACTTCATCCAGGGATGATCCCAGAGGATAGTCCTGCCCCTGGGCAGGGGGTGGGCCCGCAAGCCTCAGGGGCTGATGGGGAAGCTGCACCAACCCAAGGCTCCTGGGTGCCTCAGCAGCATGGGTGACCCCACAGCAATAAAGGAAGGTATGTAGCAACAGTGAAACCCCATTTTGAACAATTTCCTGAGTGAAAGGGGGTGGCTACAACACCCAGCCTGGGTGCTGTAGCTGCAAGGCCAAGTTAGAAGAGGACAAGGTGACCAGCCTCTTCCTGGCTTGCCCAGAATGCAGTTTCCTGGAAACCAGGGCTTTGAGATTTTAGATTGAGGTGAACTGGTCTGGCAGAGTGAGGTTCTTCGGGCTGCACAAATTGGGTCAGGTAGATAGGGAAGGAGATGGCTTCTGATGAGCGACCTGGAGGTGCTACTGGAATGGAGCAGTTATTGTGCAGTGAGCACCCTGCACCACCAAGCCCAACCCTGTCACGGCAGGTGAAAGATCCCTTTTAAAGACCACGGACTCATTAACCTAAGCTATCAATTCCTGACAATGGTAAATGTGTATTCTAAGACGGGTGAGCCACCGTGGGAAAATGAAGTGCAAGTGCCTGAAGACAGATGGATGGGCAGGTGGAAATGCAGGCTGTAGAAGGAAAAGCTTTCTCAGTGGCAACTTTCAAGGACAGTGGACTCACCACACACTGATCCCTCTTACACCTCTGACTTCCTGTGGATTTGGGGCTCTAAGCAGAGACTCTGCAAACACACAACACCAAAGAAGTTTTTTTCTTTTGTCACCCCTTCTTCCCCTAGCTCATGGCTTCATCAGTATCGGCAGAAAATTCGATATTTGTAACTTTGTTGTTCTCCAGGACAGGAGAAAAGGTTGTCTGAAGGAGGAGCCTTGCCTGCCACAGAAGGCAGCTTAGCTTCGTGTTCATGAAGCTAGGTGCCCCCTCCATCCCACCGAGTTGCTTCCAATTAAAAGCAAAGTTCTCCCTTCAAAATGCAGCAGATTCCACAGCAAGAGTTGGAAATGTCCATCTGTGTGGCCAGTGAAGTGGAAGGGCCTGTACTGGCAAGTGTGGGAAGGCTGCATCCCCTACACGACGGTCAGCTCGAGTCACTTGGGGCCTTGAGGAAATTTGGGACATATATTCCAGGTGCTGATAAGTCAGAAACACAGCTTTTCACATAAACCTTCTTGATTTAAAAATGTTGGTAAACATTTAACAAAACGTGACACTCCATACACCACATACCATACAATAGGGACTTCATGTTTCCAATGCCCTCAGATAAAATGTCCTTGCTCACTGGAAGTCCAGCAGACTGGAAGGGCACACCCACTGCTTATCACTAGTCAAGACCAGGTCTTCATTCACAAATACTTCCACATTCTCTTTGGGAATCAAACATCAAGAGCTTGAAGCATATTCTTCTTTAGTGATCTCATGGATGCCAATGGTGTTTGTTAGAGTGGAATTCTGGAAAGTCATTTGGACCTCCAACCAAGTGGGCAATCAGGGCATAACCAGCTTAGAAAAGCTGGACTTCAAAGTAACAAGGCTGGTTTCCTTGTGTTGCTCAGGCAGTTTCCAAGAAGTTCCTGCAATGGAGCCCGACTGGAGTGGCCTTAATTGTGGGTGTTTTGCTAGAACTTTGGCCCTTGGCTTTTCACCTAGCTTACTTGAACACATGAGTTATCTTCAGTCTTAAACTTTGCTTCTGAGCTTCCAAGCCTGGATACCACAGAAATTTCCAGGTTCTCTCATATTTAAGTTGTGGGGTACATGGTATATCTTTGTGGGCCACTTCTGGCTCCCCTAAAGTAGTGGCCCACCTTTTCCTTTTTGTACTACTAGGGATTAACCCAGATCTATATCTCCAGTTGTTTTTTTTCCAGCCAGTCTCATAAGTCATCCAGGCTGGGCTCAAACTTGCCATTCTCCTGTGTCAAAATGCTAGGATTATAGTATGTCATCGTATCTGGTTTAATACTGCCCCCCCCCTTTTGTCTTTTTGAGACAGGGTCTCACTATGCAGTTCAGGCTGGCTTTGAGTTCACTTTGTAGCCCAGTCTGGTCTCAAACTCCCAATGATCCTCCCAAATGCTGGGATTACAGGTGTGAGCCACCACCCCTGGCTTAATACTGGTCTATTCTTAAAGCCTCTTACTTTCCTAGATTTTCAGGCCAGGGACTGAAGCACATCTGGCAAGGCCTCAGGATCTACTGGAACACCAAATTTCCAGGCCCCAGTTCCAGCCCTGTCTTGCTTCTAGATAGCTTCCTCCGAGAGGGTTCAGTTTCCACCTTGCCTAGGATTTATTAAGTCAGTCAAGAGCTCGGTGTGGTAGTACACACCTGTAATCTCACCTACTTGCAATGCTGAGGCAAGAGGATCTCAAGGTAGAGCCTGGCCCGCACAACTTTGTAAGGCTCTAGAATAAAAATTTAAAGGGCCAGGAATAGATTGCATGTCTCAGCATCCACAGGCCCTGGACTGTGAGGGAAAAAAAAACTGACCTAGATCCTAAGGCCCTTCTCCAGGGCATCTGCCTCAGGGGTGAGGCCAGGAATTTGGGTGCTTTACAAGGAGTTAGGGATTCTCATGCTCTGCAGGCTCAGGGATCGAGCTAGTAGTTTCCAAGCACCATGTGCTAAGCAACTGCCTCAGAATCTCGAGAGCTGTTTTATTTTTGGTAACAGCTTTGAGGTGTAACTGGTACACCATGAGGCTCACCTTTTCAGCAGAGTGAGTGGTTTTTAATGGAGGCAGATGGCTTGCAGTTACCCACCTGGAGATCATTTCTCCAGACTGATATAGCAGAGCCAGGAACCTTTGGTCAGCTGGCTTTATAGCTAGGTATGTGAACCCTAGGACTAGGAAGGAACCCTCCACTGGGGCAACTACCTTTTTAATGGTTACAACTAGCGATGCTACTAGATCTAGTAGGTAGATTGGATGCTATGTGCATCTAGTAGTGCACAGGACAGCCCCCACTGTAGGGACAGTAATTTGGGCCCAGAGGTCAACAGTGGTGAGGCTGGAAAAGGCCAAGACCTCCAGGCCCCAGCTCACAGTAGTCCCCAGGACTTGGTAGGGTGGCGTCAGCACCAACATCTCTTGTGTGATGATGCTGGCCTGGGTCACCACTACAGTATGGGACAAGTACAGGGTAACCAAATGTTGCTGTGCACTTAAAAATTGGTGCTCCTCACCTCTCAACCATGCAGAACCTAGAATGCACAACTTGATAGATGATGCTTATGGCCACCTTAGCAATCTGCCTCAGGGTGGGCTCAGGCACCCAGCTTTGAGTGGCGTGCCAAGGGACCCCTTAACACTTCCCTCTGTGAAGTCTTCATCACTCATGAATGTGTATGGCAGTTTCCCAAGAATTTCTCTCCACTCCAGAGTAGATAAGCTGCAGAGTGAAGACCTGGGAGGCTGCAGATCCCTGTCCTGCTATAAAGGTATCCTGCATGACACAGGGGAAACAGGCACCCCACTGGGCTGTTTTTGGAGGCTGGGCTCAGAGGGTCTAAAAGCCTAGGAAGATGGAGGCAGCTATTAAATGTGCTTACTCAAAACTGGGGACCAAGATCTGTCCACCTGAGCAGGGGGGTGGGGTTTCTGGAGACACAGGCCAGAAAACTAACTTCAAGGGAAAAACTTTGTGTGGGCAGGAAGTTTCTAGAGCACAATGGCTGAAAAGACAATGACAGGCAGGACCAGTGTGGAGCTAAGTGATATTGGAGGTGCCTCGTGCTCTGCTTGGCCCCACCACCCCCACATAGCCAGCTGGTAGCAAAGCCTAGGATGTGAGGCAAGACCACAGAGCCTGGTGGTAGTTTGGAATTCTTTCTTCTCTTTCATTAAAAGGGGAAAAGAAAGTGGAAATCAGATACCCCTGGGCTCTGGGGAAGGCATGCATGCAGCCCCAGCAGGCAGGCACTGGGGATGGGAGGGAAGAGTCCTGGAGTTTCCCATAAACCTTTTCTCAAGGGGAACAGCAGTGCAAGCTAACAAGAGGATGGTGGGGTGAGGCAGGGCCCTGGGGAGAGGAGTGGCGGCCAAGGGGATTGGGGCTCACTCTAACATGCAAAGTCCAGCTGCCCCATAAACTAGGTTGCTTTCAAAGAGTGATTTACATATAAATACACAGACACAGCTACACGCACACATGCGGAGAAGGCTCTGCATTCCCAAGTGTGGGGATCTAGGCCAGCTGTAGGGAGCTCCAAGTCAGTAGCCAGCCGTGTCTTTGCTGGGTGACTGTCCACAGTGCCCCTGGGCTAGGGCAGAGCAGGACAGGTGAATCCTCTTCTGTGGAAAGGCTGTTTGGTCTCCAAGGTGCTGCTCACCAGGTAGCTAAGCCACTCTGAGCCAAATCCGTGTGAGCTGGGGACTGCATGCCTTTGCTCCATGAACTTGCATGCATGCAGCTGTGCATGTTGGCACAAGATATATCCCTGCCAGACTAGAGTCCATCTCTCCCCTCCAGGGCTCCAGGGCGCAGGGGTTCAGACAAAGGAAGGGTG